CCCCCACCCCCATATTTTGTACTCTCAAGAGCGTTTAAGTCCTATCTCTGAGGTATTCTGTAATAAATTCTTACTTGGAACATACCTCCTTTATAGGTGCTATTTGCTAAAAGATTGAGAACTTTTCGAAAGGCAATCGTGTAATTGGGACTTCTTCATAATTGAAATTAAATTAAGTGAGAATTGAAGAATAGTGGGTGGGAGGGGGAGGGGGGGGGGAGGATATCAATCATCAAGTCAAGTAACTGTCAAGTTAAAGTAAATATTACCTGCCACCTTTTCCTATAAGTACTACTATGATAATATAATATACCTGCGTATAGACCTCTAAAAACCCTGTTAAATGAAATCAACCAACAGTGCGTTTGCGTTGTACGGTGTGAATAGATAGCAAAAAAGAGGCATACGTCATTAATGGCGAAAATTCGAGTTCGTCCACTGTCATCGCCGACGGCAATATGGGAGCCCTTCTTTTCAAATTTGCAACAGTTGGGTGAAGCTTCATTGTTTAGGATTGTTGAGGCTGTTGGCACCTAAAAATATACCATATGGATCACGCCAAATGAATCAGTCCACTTGTTATGCTAATGTTGATGCATGCTTTTAAGGTAAAGATATAACCTAGACTGTTATTGTGTTAGTACTATATATCTATTGAAGTGAACTATGACTGGAATTATTCTGGAAACGGGGAAAAAAGATCGAAGGTCTATATACAAGCCACGACCTAGCTCAAGCGACGATATAACTTCGGCATCTAAGGTTGATCCTTCGACTGGTTAACCAGTGATGTTGTAGTATTGTGACCTCTTTGTCTCTTTTCAATGGATGAAATACGCATTGACTTGATTGAACTCTTTCATTCATTATTAATAGCCGCTTAACTAATCACTACTGACTAAGAAAATTTTTATATTCTCTATAAGTGGTATTCATTAAATTAATTGATAAATATTAAAATAATTGTTGTGAGTAAAATAGAAACCTCCGATTTAGGAAACAATTTTCCTATTGGATATTAAAAATTAGTTACTTAATTATTCAAGTGTAAATCAAATTACTTCAATAAAATTTAATCTATTTATATATATACCGACACCATTGTTTGAAAAATGCTTAATCATAAACCTTTTTCAATTACACTTTTAATTTCTTTAAGATACATTCTCCTTATAACGACAGGTGGCGTGGTCATCTAGCAGTTATATTTCTCATAAATAACCACATTTACCTGATTTTAAATCTTTAGGAAAAGAAACATTATTCATATAAAATAATAACAATAAATCGAATAATCTGCGCTGTGAATTTTGAACGATTCTGCTAAATACAAAGTTGTAATCTAAGACAAAAAAACTTCTCATTGGTTCAAAATCTCTATTATTTTAATTTAAACTAACATCTAAGTCATAATGTTGAGTAAAGGGGAGTTTATGCCCAGAATGCGCTCTCATGGTACATGAGGAACTTTGTCTGCTCTTAAAAGTCGGCCGAAAATTTGTTGGCATCTACAAATTCAGCATAAAACAAGTAACTCCACTTCCAATCTGTCGGCTTTCCTCCTGTTTGCAGTTGGCTTTACTGTAGTTACTGTTATTTAGATTATTTATTTGATACAACTTGTTGAAATATCTGCTCCTAGCTTTCATAAAAAAGTGTATTTAATTAAGAGTTAAGCAACACCGAAAATTCGAACGAACTTCACTATTCATAATAAGATTCCAGATATCAAGATGACCACCGAGGTCAACTGTTGCAAAGAGAGCGGGATGTGAGGGTGACCAATCGCAATTGAGGATATAATCAGAGCGCTCCTCAAAGGAGACAAGTGGAAGACGTTCAGTTCGGGACCAGAGCTTCGCTGTGCAGTCCATTGAAGTTGTAAGGTAGATGTTTCCATCATTCAGGGGATCCTCTGCGTTCGGAACTGCAATGGCTGTCACTGGAGCTTGGTGGTGTCCTTCAAATTGAATGTTCACTCCAGGTTCACTGCAAATAATTGATGCAAGATGTTGGCTCAACTGATGTTAACCCTGATTGTTGAAGATTAAGCAATTTAATTGAGACGTTCCTTTACACAAATGGATACATTCTACTTGGAATGACAGTTATTCAATGCAAATCATGCATATAAAATTCAAAGTGTAGAATGCTTCAATATAGATACAAATGGATGAAAGAGACTAAGAATCGTATTCCTCTTTGTTTAGAGAATCATCATGTCGGAATATTTATTTTATTTCAAATGACAGGCGTTCTGATAGTTATCATTAGTCCTTTAGCTGACTTCGGGACTTCACAGAGAGGAGGAGGAACCTCAAAGTGACAAAAAAATTCAAGAGGAGGGGGGGGGGAGGCAGAATAATGAAAGATTTAAAAGAGACAGACAGACACAATTGCAGAGAAAAGGTAAGATGAGTACTGT